GGGTCGGAGCTTTTCTGGGACGATCAGAGTTGGGCAGGGGAGCTGCTCCCATGTCCGGTGGGCACACAACCCACGGCAAGACATGCTAAAATTACCAAAAATTATCACGAATGCAACCAGCCTAGAGCATGAACTCAGCACTGAGCCGAGGCTGTGATGCACCGCGCAGTCCCGGCACGGCCCGAGCCACCCGCCCACCCTGGGAAAACCAAGGCACGGGTCCCCTCTGGTGTCACCGAACAAGACTGCAGCCCTAAAGCCCCAGCCAGCAGCCAGCGGCCGGCAAGAGGGACCTGGCGGTGGCCAGCAGGGCTTCCAGAGCAGGAGGAACCGAGCCCCTGCACCCTCTCTGCAGAACACACTTCCCCCGAAGCACCCGCGAATCACCGCGGGGAGGATGCGGGGAATGCCTGAGCGTTTATTCTCTGTCCACATCCCTCTGCAAGTGATCTTCTGCCTCATCTTTTCCCTACAATATCACCCAGCCCTTCTGCCCTTTTCCCAGGCAGCTCTGCACCCAGAGGAAGAGGAGGGGTTGCAGCAAAGGAAGCCACGCAGTGGGAACAGAGAGGGATTTCGCCCCCAGCCCCACACAATGCTCACAGGAATCAGAGRAGCTCCTCTGAAATGTGGTTTTGAGATACCTCGAACTGCTCTTGCTCCATCTGCATCAGCAGAAAACTTGGAAAACTCTGCCTGGATTTCTCATCCCTGTGCCACACATGCTTTTTTCCTCTGTCCCAGACCAGCTCATATATCGCYTGTGGCTTATTCCATGTTCCCCCATGGACCCAGGCACCTTCCTTTCACAGCGGAGAGCTCTTCCTCCCAAACCAGCTCTTTCACCCGCTGGCTGTCTCCTCTCCTGCGGGATGGTTGGGCCCCACAACAGCCGGCAAGCGATGCCCTGGCAGACCAGCTGCCCTGGCACGGCACGGGGAAAWGCTAAGGTGCAGCCAAGGAGTAAAAACGAAGGGATGGGAGACAAACCTTCACGGCTTTTTGTGCCATTCCTTGCCCCACTGTGCCCAGGAGAATGCATTTCAGGATGAGCCAACTGCGCATCCTTTGGGGCATCCTCTTCCCAGCTCATSCCAAGCAGGAAGTTCTGGTACATAAACCGAATGAATTGGTCGGYCCAGGTATTTGATTTTAACTAAAACCCGGTTGTTTTGCATTAAAGCAACACGTGCTCTTGCCAGCCTGCAGCCTGGGGAAAGCTTGGCTGCTGCTGAGGTCCTGAGGGAGAGGTGGTGCTGTGACAGACTGTCCCAAACTCGGGAAAACAGCAACCCTGGAGTGCAAACAGTGGGAGAGAAGCTCGTTGTGCTGCAGGAGGAAGGCACTTTGTGCAGCTGAGCTGAGCCCCAGCTCATTTGATCCTTTTGCTCTAGAGCAGCTGCAGGCACAGCCAGCCTTTCAAACACCCCCAGCTCCTTGAAAGGTGCCCGAAAAGGAGRAGGAGGGGCAATAGAAGAATGGAGAAAAAATAGATTTTCTGGGAAAAGGCAGAGCAGGCATGCGGAGGGCAGGTGCCGCCCCGTCCCCACCACGACTGTACCATTTACTCATCCCATAGGGACAAATTCTGGAGAAACACATCCCAGGGGACTCGACCCCAGCAAGGGGCACAACTCCAGCAGGACACAGCTCCGGGACACGGCAGCGCTGGCACAGCCCAGGGAGGGGCTCAGGGCTCCAGGGCTTGGCTGGCTCAGGCTGTCCCCAGCCCGGCTGYCACCTCTGTCCCACCCTCCCCAAAGGGAGGAGGGGGCTGGCAGCGGCACAGAGCGGTGGGAGAGGCGGCGAGGCGAGAGGCTGCTGAGAGGTAGGGAGCCCAAACCCCCGCGGCAAAGCCACCGCCGGCCCCCCGGGTCACCCCGGGCGGGGACAGACCCCCGGCTGCAGGGCTGCGGAACCCCCAGCCGGGGGAAAGGGCTGAAAACGGGCAGGATGCAAAGTTTGGGGTGGGAGTGAGGTCAGGCATCCCTCCTCCCGTCCCAGTCGCGCTGCTCCATCTCTGCCGGTGATGGGAGAGGGGGAATATGCTGTGGAGGCAGCTCTGCCCCTGAGCAGTGGGGTGATGGGGAGCAGCACCACTCACTCTGCTCTCAAAACCCAACCTCCTGGGCTGGGAATGCAAGCGGCTGGRAAGCCTCAGCACGTTGGGAAAAGTTGGGGAGCTGCAGGAAAAGCGTTGCTAAGCAAGGCGAGGAGGGGAATGAGAGCKGCTTTTCATCGGAGCTGTGCTACAGGCAGTGCCTGCAAACGGCCTTTTCTTTGCAGAACTTTGWGGAAAGGTGGGGAGAGCATATGGAACAAGTGCCAAACCAGGCAGCTGGGCCAGGCCAGGGAGCAGTGCCCACTGCAGGGCAGAGCAACCCTCACTGSTGCTCATGCACCAGAATCGTTTTTTCTTCTTCCTTTCTGCCTTTCTCAGGGGCATTTCACCCGTTGCAATTTCTCTTTTTTTCACTCTGATCCTCGCCTGCCTCATGCCCAGTGCTGGGTCCAGAGTGCTCACAGGGCTGTGCCATATTTGGGGCAGGGATATCCCTTCTGGGGGATATTTCCAGGATGGGCAAATCTCTCATGGACCCACCAGGGTGCAGAATATGGGGTCTGGGTGGGACAGTGATGCTGGGAATGGGCAATGCCATGAAAGTCCAGACCTTCCAGCTGAGCTGGATGTGAGGACAGGCTGGGTGGGAAACAGGAGGAGAACAAGCCACGGCTGGAAAAGCCTGGGAAAGCATCAGTGTGATCCCTCCTGATGGGTTTCTATGGAACTGCTGTCAAGTGAATTTTAAAGCCAAACTCTGCAGCCATGAGTGAGGAGGCAAAAAGAGCCTGGAGGAATCGTTCACGCCTCTCGGCTGGCTCTTAAGGAACAATATAAGGTCACCAAGCTGAGCAGAGGCAGTCTGTAAATGCCAGCATTAAGGTAGCCGTGGAAACCTCGATTCAGGCTGCCTTTGGTGTGGGATACGCTGCARTCCTGCCTGCTGGTTTTTGTGCCCAGCCTGTCCATGGAGCAGGGGCTCATTGGGATGGCTGCACTGCTCCCAAGGCTGAGGGGAAGGGACTGAGCTAGGCAAGGAGGGGTTGCACGATTGAAAAAAGAAACTTTTGGGGTGAAGACAGGTGAAAACCTCACTTTAGAGGAGGTGACAAGAGCTGCAGTCCCTGAACCTGCTTGCAATAGACACGAGGATTTTTGGCAGGAGCAGGGTGAGGGTGTCACACTTCACCCCTGCAGAATAATAAAGGCAGTGCCACCACAATGCCACAAATCTGAGGGGACTTGTCATGGGGGACTTAACCAGCTGTCTGATTTCTTTGGGGGAATAATCCAAAACCCCCAAATGACAGCCAAACCAACAAACCCACATTTTTGGGGAACAGAGATGAACCAAACCCCAGCAGCTCGGGGGGAGGATTTTGGACTTTCTCTAGCACCTGGATATTTATCTCTTCCAGCAGATATTTATCTCTTCCAGAAAACCTTCATGCAAGCTGCGTGTGCTCCCTAAAGGTGCCCTCAGAGGGGCCACGGTGCCATATGCACACAGTGGCAGATTCCTTTGCCAGGTGGTTTTGCACTTCAAGTGTAAAGGTTTCGCAAGTGTAAACACCACCTCTGCGCCCTGCCTCCTGGCAAAGCAGATGGGCACCTCCTGTGTCACCCAAAACACAGCTGGGACATCSTGGTGTGACAAGAATCCATCAGTGTAAGCAGAGGGTGGCTGTCTGTCTGTCCAGCTTGTGATCATCTCTCTGTCACCTTGTGCTGCAGGGAAGATGAGCACAGAGGGCTCTGCCAACAGCACCTCTCCCACCTCACCTCTCCTTCCCACCATGCAGCGGGTCCCGCCCAGCGCTGCGTCCCCTGAAGTGACAGCCTGGCTGCCCGTCATCGTCGGGCTGCTGTGCATCCTGCTGGTCCTGGCCACCTTCCTGACCTTTGTCACCGCCTGCARGCCAGCAGCACTGGGCTGGTCCCTCCCCGGGCAGCAGGAGCGCCTGCCCCACCACCCCGTGGATGGCAGCGAGCCCCAGCTCAGGCTCTGGAAGCGCCTGGGCTCCCTCAGGTGCTCCATCAGCAGCTTCAGGAGGAGCCAGCTGCTGTCTCAGAGCCAGCCTGCCTGTCCCAGGAGCTTCTCTGCCAGCCAGGACTGGGACACCGTGGAATCCACTAAAATGTGACCTTGCTCTGCTTTTTTCACTGAGCTTTGGGCTCAGCTCCCTCCTCAAGCATCCCTYGGCAGAGCCCCTTGGAGCAGCTCATTTCCCAGCAGTGGCTCTGCGAGGCCACAGCAGATTTTGCAATGTCAGGCTCCCAAACGCTTTCCAGGTTCCTGCTTCCTGCCAGGGAAGGTRGAGGCACCCAAACTACGCCCACACTATGCAGCCACCACCAAAAGGAGTTCCAAAAAATAAATCCTGCCGCTTCGTTTCTTTGGGAAAGCATCGTGCAGGTTGTGCTCTGCCTGAACAAACAGCCTGGAAAGGAGTGGGAACAACCTGGCTGCCTAAAGAGAGGCATCCCTGGGCAAACCTGTTCCAGAAAAAGCAATTCCCAGTGTGATTTCCCCTTGAGCAGTGCTCTGGAGCCGATGGAGGGAGGCTCGTGCCTGGTCCCTGTCACCCCCTCCCCACGCAATGACCCGTGGGCTGCTGTGGTCAATGCATTCCCATTCCTCTGGCCCTGCTTTGGGAAGGAAGGGATGGGGAAACATTCAGAAACTCTCCTGCTGCCCTGGAAAACATGGGGATGTGGGGATGCATTTGAAGGGAGAGACTTTCTGTACCAAGGGTTTACGCTGAGGGTGTAAATTAAAATAAASCCAGGTGACAGCTCATTTCCATTTCTCTTTGATGCTGTTCTGAGGAAAACCAACACCTCCTCTCCTATGCCACAGGCTTTCAAGGGCATCCCCCACTTTTGGGAAGTGGCTTCTAAGAAAATGGTCACACTCAAGATCCCTCCACTCCTTTGAGGGAGGGATCCCCACAGGGCCACTGCTGCACCCTGGGATGGCAGGCTGACCCCATAGACACCACATACACTGTGCCTGACCCCATAAACATACATACACTGTGCCTGACCCCAGAGACATCACGTACACTGTGCCATCACACCACAGGTGACAATCACCACGGAATTCCCTGAGGACCAGCCGCCCAGAGCAGACAGCAGCTCCCAGCAAACCTTTGTTGCGGGAGGCAAAAGGCTCCTTTCTCCTCTGCCCRTGACTCACCCTGCCAGGACAAAGCTGCCCCTTTGCCCGTGCTGGGAGAGGTATTGAAGGCAGGAGGAGCCTTCCCAGGGCCCTGTGCAAAGAGCCTTTGGTGCTGGCTCTAGAAGAGCGCTGGGTTTGAAGGGATGCTGGACAGCCCCGCAGCCCCGTGTGAATGCCCGCATTCATTCGCTGCTCACTGAGCCATTCAGCTCTGCCCACCGCTCCCTCAAAGGGGAACAAAAATGAAAGCAAAGCCCAAATGCTTTTCTCCYTCTCTGAGGGTTTTCCCCTCCTCCYCGAGCATCTCTTTGCAGGCACTCTTCTCCCTCCCCATGGAGATCTCTGTTTGGGAGGAGGGAGAAAGCAGGGATGCAGCCAAAGCAGCCTCRCCAGCACAGGGCTTRGTTCTTCTCCTCTCTCCCCCTGCARAAATTGGGTGAATTTCTTWWTTTTCCCTTKYCCTTTGCTGCCTTCTCCCTGGCACTCATAGCCTGGACTGGCAGAGTAGTGGATGAGCAAGAACCACCTCTCAGGGGGCAGAGATGACAGAGAGAGAAAATCTCTGCCCTGCGCTTCCAGCAGCTTGTGGTCAGGGCATGGTCAGTGAGGACCCCCACCTCCCAGCCCAGGGTCCCAGGGCAGAGCCACRTGCCTGCACTATGCTGCTGGCAGCAGGGATGTCCTCGGGGACGCTGACTTCRTAGCTGCTCTGCAGGAAGATGGGCCTGTTGTCATTGACATCCAGGACGGTGACATACACGGTGGCAGTCCCCGTGCGCCGGTTCCCCGTGGGGCCGTTGTCTGTGGGGAGAGAAAGGTGAGGGAGGGAGGGATGGATGG